TTAAATAAATAATTCGACTTGAATAAAACTTTTTCCCGCCAATTTATAAAGATTTGCATAAAATTTATTTATATTTTTATTTATTTCTAAATAAAGTATTTTACCTTGTGTAAAAATTAAAAATTAAATAAAAAATGGAAGAATTTGAGAAAGAAGTTTGAAAGATGGATACATAGTATTTATAGGTTTTCTAAAAAAAGGAAAATATTAATAATTGATCTACAAAATTATTCCTCGTATTTTTTAATAGAAATTAGGGGAGGTAAAAAAAAGCAACGTAAATATTATGTATGTCATTCATTCGTTATTCTTACCGATTATAATATACAATAATAATAGATTGGAGTGATCGATCATTCATTAGAATTAACGATTAGGAAATGATTTGTGAATGAATAACTATTATAGGCAAAATAAACATTTTTAATATGTACGCGTGTAGTTTTTTGAGAATCAATCACCAATAGGTTAGAAAAACACCCCTAAATTTTATTACTAGAACAAGTTTTTATATATTAATTATATAAAATTTAAAGGAGGGGAGGAAAATTAGCGCAAGTACCAGCACATTAAATTATTAATTGATTGATTTGACATTGTCAACACTAAAATAAGCATTATTTTTTTTTCTTGATTTACAAGTTTATTAGATTTCCCTATATATATAATATATATATGTATATATTAGACGCACATATATAAAGCTTCTTAAAAATAAAAAATAACATAAAATAAAAATTTTTTTTATTTTTTCTTACTAGGGAAAAAAAACACACTTCTTACCTAATAATTAATTTACTATTACCCATTGTTATTATTACTTAAAAATTCCAACAATGTATTATAAATAAATAAATAAATAAATATATATGTATTTATTTATTTATTTATTTATTTATTTATTTTTAATAAATCATTAAACATTTTTTAATATTAAAAAAAATTTTTTAGCACGAGCACGTATATAATGGACAAAAAAAGCGTGTCGATTTCATAATACATTTTAGTATATGTTCGTTGATTTTCTACTTTTTGCTGCGCATCATTAGTAATTTTTTTTATACTTTTTTTAGTAAGATTAATTGATTGGCTAAGGATGAAGGGAAGAATGAAGAAATCGTAGAATCTTGGTAGTAGTAGATAATAAACATTCAAATTACTACTACTGCCACTGCCACTGCCACTACCACTATTATTATCTTTATTCTATTCTATCATTATCTTTCATTGTTTGGAAAAACATTAATGACAAACAAAAGGTGGCTTTGACTTTTTAAAAATTTGTACGTTTTAAAATTAAAAAAATTTTTCCTCGTTTAACACCGAAGGTTGTCGAAAAGAAAATTTTTTATGCATATAATTAATTAATATCAGGTATATAGTCTCATTGATTACTTATCTTTCTTTTTATTTATGATTGTGGTAATAGTGTTCATTGACATTTAGAAAAAAGAACGAGGGGTCGAGAGTAATAATAATAGTAATAATATTAAATAATAATCGACCGATAATAATAATGCATACAATGAGATGAATGGATTGGAGCGAGATAAACAAATAATAATATAATATAGAATTCGTGTATATTATTATTAATATAGACGGCAAAACGGTGAATGGTAAATAAATAAATAACAGATGATAAAGACTTACATCAAGGTGCATAAAATCATAAGGAATTGAAAATAATTAATACCTTTTAAGAAAATCGGTGACAATTCACAACATGCACAACCCCATTTTTATATTTATTGTCATCATTATGTCATTTTCAATATAAATAAATTAAAATTTATGTTGATCAATGATAAAAAGGGCCATTGGAACAAAAGAATAAAACAATCGGTATTATTTGAATCGTGTATGATATTGTATGAGCTACCGTTCTTTTGCAGACAATTTACAAATTTGGATGCACGTGTAACAATATCAAACATCCACAAACGGTATAAATTTTTTCCTAACTACCTTTTTCTTATTCTGTATAAAAGTAGGGTCACTCCCTAAAAAATATAAGTTTTTTGGTCCGTCCATCATTTTAAAATTTAATTTCTAGGGTTTTAATAATGAATTAATTAATTAGTTAAGTTAAAAAAAAAGTACAAAAGTACAAATTTTTTAGATTTCTAATTAAAGTATCAAAGGTTTTGTGCATCCGTCAAAAAAGTTTATTAATCACATTTTTTAAGACGCCCAAAGGAAAATGTTGTGGGAATTTGAGAATTAAGGAAATAATTCCACGTTATTAATCTACATTTATGTTAATTTCTCTCCCTTTTCTCATACTTTCCCCCACATAATTAATAGTTAATTAGGAGAAATATTCGGGAGTGCTTATACATAACAAAAACAAGAAAAAAGTTGAATGATACTAGAACGAAATCAAAAAAAAATACACCAATTATATTTTTTTTTTTGATCTTCTATTTCTATAATAATAATAATTAATAATATCACGCTCCCACAAAAAAAAAAATCATAGTTATTAATTTTAATTATTATTATTTTATATAAAAAACACATTCCACATTATTTATTATTTATTATTTATTATTATTAATTAAGATCACATCAATCAATGAAGAAAAACATCAATAACAAACAAACAACGCTATTAATTACTGTGCTGCTGTAAATCTCTTTATCTATCAGAAGGTGAATTCTGGTATAAATCATCGGATTTATTCCATGAAAAATTATAAAGAAAATTTTACAAAATTTTATTTTTTTTCATCCTTTTTCATCTTGTTTTTCTTTTTCTTTTTTTATTTTTTTTTTTAATTTTTGTTCTTACCTAATATTTTTATATAATAATATTATTTATTTATATGTTACATAATCCCAATTATAATATCCCAATTATATATAATATTTAAATAAATATAATAAATATTTAAAATATTATTTTTTTTTGTAATTTTATTATTATTATTTAATTAACTGCACAATTTTTTTTGATTATAGCAAGAATCCATTCATATCATTATCATCACACACATATTTCTAGTTTCTAAACTTAAATAAAAATTTTTCAATTTTTGTGTATTCGTTCCCCTTCAAAATCCAAAACATATAAGAGTGTTGAATTGAGAATAGTGTGTGCTGTTTGATGAATTTTGATCTTCATCATCTTTCATCTAAAAATTTTTTTCTTTCTTGTAAATTATTTATTTTTAAAACTTCTTCTTGATCTCTTCTTTTCCTTTGATTTCTAATTAAATAAATATTTTTTTATTTATTTATTCTTTTTGACCTTTAAAAACGCGAATATTTTAGAACGCGTAAATAGAATTTTTATAAATCTATTAACTTACCTTTATACGTTCTTTTACTATTATTATTTTATTACTCTAATAGTTTTTTACCAAGATTAAGATTTTTATCTTTTAGATCCTTCTTTCTTTTACTTTCTACTACTTTCTTTTCTTCCTCTCTTCCCTTCTTTTTCCATACTTATTTACCCCGTAATCAATCCGAAAATATTATCAAGTAACAATAATCATTGTAAGTATTAAATTATTTTTTTTACTATATATAAATTGGGGAATTTTTTAATACCCCAAATTTTTTTTTGATAAAAAATTTGCACATTTAATTATACAACCCCTTTTCTTGGATCATTGTTGTCATTTTTTTTTGTCCCTTCTTCCTTGTAAAGATGTCGTGCAGTGGCTGCAACAAAAAAAAAGAACAATCCATTTTAATGACTATCCTCCTAAAGCCTTTTTGTCTGTCCATTTGCAGCGACTTTATTATCACCAATTGTTTTTTCCCACACTTATTTTTATATAAAAGAAACCGAAAAACGCGACTTTTTTTTCGCGTGCTCTTCTCTATATAACAATTTATTTTTTACGACAATTGTGGCACACTAAAATAGCCACTTTTCACTTGAAAATTTTTTTACGACACTGCTATTCTATTATTCTTCTTATTAGAATTATAATTAATTAGAATATTTCTAGAAACGTGTTATATATATATACATATATACATTATTATTATTATATACAACTTTTTTATATATTAAAAAAATTTGATAATTATTTTTTTTTTTTCCTAAAATCGACAAAAATTTTTAATGACAAAAATAGTTTTTGGTCTTTTATAAAGAACAATTACTATTGGCTAAAATTTTTGTAAACAAAAATTATATTTTTTTATTTTTTTCAATTATAAAATTTTTTTACTTGTATATTATTATATATAAATCAATACCAAAAAAAAATTTCTTCTTACCTTCTTTCTTTTTTAATTCTCTTAACCCTTCATTTTTTTAATTTCCTCTTTTCTTTATAACGTATAAATCTTCATTTCATTTGTCTTTACTCCTAAAACTTCTTTTTTTATAATTGTTATTCTTTTTTCTTCACGTTTATTTATAATAATCAGTACATAAAAATTTTTTTTTATAATTTCTTACTTACCAAAAAAAAACTTTTTTTAAAAAATAATCATTATGCAAGAAAAGAGAAGACATTCATCCTCCTCACAACAAAATCATAATCAACGACAACAAAATAATCCACAAAATCAACGACAACAACAACCTCCTCTTCCTCCTCCTTCATATTCGGTAAGTTGATCAATCTTACATAATATAATTAATCACCATTATATCGATCTTCTCGAAATGATGTCTTAATATAATATCCGCAGCAATGATATAATATTTACTAATATTTTATTTATTTATTTATTATTTCCATATCGGTTTGCAATGCATTTTAAATTTTACGTGTCAATTACAATCACGAACATTTCATTCGTTGTAACACTCTTTACACGTTTATTTACACCATGTATTTTATTTAATTGCATAATTGTAGAATATTTCTCAACCATCGACATCATGTAAGTTATCAATGTTCACGTGATCATACCCTGTAATGTTTATTTATTTTAAATTTTTTTTTAATTTCTTGATCAGTCGAATGTAAATATTTGCCAAATAATTTTTGTTTTTAAAAAATTTTTTTTATAGCAACTGACGAAACTACTAGAAAACGTCAAAGAACAGAAGAGGAAACAATGTATGCTTATATATATATTGTATTAATAATTATAATATAATATAAAAATATTATTTTAAACTTTAACATTATTAAATTAATATAATAATAAAACATGAATAAAATAGAATAATGGAAGTTAGAACTCCTCCCTATCATCATAGTACAAGCCATTATCACCATCGTCATCACCATAATCCTGGGTCTGGTTTCGATCAACATATTCCATTTCAAAACTTTAATGATGACCAAAGACGTTTCTTCGCATATCATCCCCCATCTCCACCCAACAATATCGTTCTACCTAGTTTGCATCAAAGTAATAATGACACTAATAATCATACTCAAAATTATCCAACTCATCGTCGTCAGTCTGTAAGTGGCGAATCCATCCGACCTTCCGAAGATCCTAACGATCGTGTAGTCTATCCCAAGTCTGATGAGCTCAAAAAACGTCTAGACTATGCCACTCTTCAAAACTGGCTCTTTAAAGATATCGATAGAGAAACAAAGTTCGATGTGGTATGTAATTATTTTGTTTTATCATTATGAAATAATGATTTATGATTTTTTTTTTAAAAATAAAAATTATTAATATTAATAGATAGATGCAATGTATGAAAGAATTGTAAAAAAGAACGAACAAATTTTTGCTCAAGGAGATAAAGATGATATTTTTTATGTAATTGATCATGGTATGTTTCATGTAATACACAACAATCGTTTGTATTTGGAGCTTGCAGATGGAAGCAGCTTTGGTGAACACGCTTTAATGTATAATGTATGTAATTTATAAATTTATAATATTTATAAATCTATATATTTAATAATAATGATGATGATGATGACATTGTTATTATTACTATCGTAAAATATTGTGTTTTAGGTTGCTCGTACTGCAACGGTTGTGGCTAAAACAGATGGGAATCTTTGGGCAATTAGCAGAGAAACTTTTCAACGGACAGTCTCAAACCATTCTCATCGTAAACAAAGCATTTATAAAAATTTATTAAGATCCATACCATTTTTGTCTTCGTTAAATCATGAAGAAATCTCAAAACTCGCTGAGGCTTTAGAACCTATGTCCTTTGAAAACGGTGATACGATCATTTCTCAGGGTGATCTTGGTGATTACTTTTATATTATCAAAGAAGGTCATGTTAGTGTTAGTAAAAGCGAACATGGTATCGAAAAACAATTAGCTCCTCTTTCAAATGGAAATTATTTTGGTGGTATGTTTCATTCATATTTATTTTACCGTTTATTTATTATTGGTTTTTAATTAATCTACTCACAATATAATACAATGTATCATCGTCGATATTAGAATTTACACTTTTCAATAATTCACCACGTAACAAAACAACTGTGGTGGCTCAAGGTTTAGTGCGTGCATTAGCACTTAAACGTGATAATTTTACACGTCTTCTAGGACCTATGATGGATATTGTTCGTCGTAATGCAGCACAATATCATTCAAACACCACTACTACTGATATCACTAATAACTCAATCCAAAATTCACTTATGCCTTTACCTGATCGACAACTTATCGTAACAACAACTACATCTTCGACATCCTCATCTTCACCTTCACCCACTGCTACTACTCCCCAAAATAATATTCAATTGCACTCTGTTAATCAAATACTTAACAACGATAACGATGAATACAATATTATTGATGAAAATTTTACAGAAGTTCGTCGATCTTCAACAACTTCTTCTGCATCAACGTCCACCACCACTTCAACCGTTAACAACAACGATGCCATTTCCTCCTCTCCCTCTTCATCATCTTCTTCTACACGTACAAGAAGAAGTGGTTATAGCGGAGCTGGCGGTGTGGATGTTTTGTAAAGAAAAATTAATTTTGGGGATTAATATATATATATATATTATATACTTATATATAATATATAATATTAATTTTATTTTTCTTTTTTAAAATTTTTTTTTGGATGGTTGCGGGGTAAATTATGATATTTTCTTGGATCCTTTTCTTATTTTTTTTTATAATTATGCATTTACCACAAAAAAAATGAAATTTTTAGATTGTGGTATTTTTTTTTTTTAAATTATTTAATTTTGATTCTTTTTAAGGTTCTTTTTTCTGTTAGAAAAATTTAAGATTTTTATGGATTAATCTTTTAATATATATATAAGTATTTTTATAAAATAATAATTTTTTATTTTTTATTTTAAAATTATATATATACACATATATGTCCCAACAGAAACAACCAAATCTTATTTTCGTGATTTTTATTTTATTTTTTTAAATGTTTTGGTTTGTTTTTGTTGGGATTTTCTTAAATATTATATAAATAATATATATATATATTATATATATATATATATTATTATTATTCTTATGATTTTATTTCTTTATCTATGGTTTTTTTATTTTTTTATTTTTTTTTTTTATTAAAAAAAAAAAGAATTTTGGTTATTATTATTAAATAAAGTTTTTTATTTTAAGCAATACTTTTCAAAAACAAAAAAGAGAATATTTTTACCTTGATTTATTTCATATTATTATTATTATATAATTTTTTAGATTAATTTAATAATGATTTTATTTATAATTAATTGTTAGTTTTTGCTTGAATATTAATTAATTAATGAATGAATGAATTGGTGTTAGTGATTATAGAGAAAAAAAAACAAGAAAAATAATATATATTTAGAAAATAATTAGAAGGAAAAAAAATTACCTTAATTTTTTATAATTATATTATTTTTTGTTTATTTAATAATAATCATAGACATACATAATTACCAATCGATCGATCGATCAAGAAGACATGAAAAACAAAAGAGTGTAAAAGGTTGGGAGAACCAGAGAAATGGTATGACGGCGAATATATGTGAAGGTAGTGGTGATGATGATGGAGGCGTATATATGGTGTGTGATGGCTTGATCTGTCCCGATGATTGATATTGTCTTGATGATAATGCGGTGAATATTGATTTTTATCATTAATATTAATTAATAGGGTTATTATTATTATTATCAATACTATTTGCTATCCATTAGGCAACAATTTCTTCCTCCTCATCAATTATTGATTTTAGAAAGGATTTCAATAGAGGGATACTTCAATAATATATAATAATGTAATGATAATGAAAAAAAGAGAAAAGTAGAAGGTATTTAAAATAAACTAGTCCATGTTATAGATTTTGATTGATCTCTTGGAGAAAAGAAATACACTTATTAATCATTTTCTTTCCAATTGATACAAAATTATAATAAATAGAACACTCAATTGAAAAAAGAACATAATAATGATAATTATTATAATATAAAAGATTTTGGATTGAAGGGTAAGCGAAACCAAAAATGTTTTTTTGTAAATATTCTTAAAAATAATATCCCTCCCCCTATTTTATATTAAAACTGAAGTTACTTTTTGTTTTTAAATCAATGTAATTATAATTATTAGATGTGTTGTAGTTGGGCGATCAGAAGAAAGGAAAGAGAAAGTAGAAAAGGTAAATAATATTTTCTAAAAAATCTTTATAATTATAATGAACAACTAAATTATTAAATATGAAAAACTACTTCGCGAATTGTATGAAAGGCTTTTTTAGTAAGAAAAAAGAACAACTTAATTACTACGAATATGCTGATGAGAGCAAAACGAATGATCTAATGATCCAATTCTTCTTTAACAACAACATCATTATCGTCATTAATCAATATAAGATAATCAACAACAACACCACCACCATCACCATCATCACTACCAAAGAAAAAAGATAAGGAAAAGTGGTGGTGAGTAAAGAAAAAACAAAATGTCAAAAAAAAAAAAATCTATACAGGACATTAAAAAAAAATTTTTTTTAATATGTATGATAATATATTTATATGTATTTATATATTTATATAGGTATATAATCAACAAATCACGTTTGATTTGGTGGTGTGATGATGATTTATAATTTATGATGGACATGAGTGATGTTAATCACACCCGATTAAAGTTATTTTCAACAGCAAAAAATTTTTTTTATAAAAATTTTTTTCATTATTATAATATTATTTTATGGTGAGACGTGACTCAACATTATATAGACTTAGAGAGAAGCATTGACAAGTTTACATCAATGTTATTATTATTATTGTTCAACATAGTCAACAATAATAATTATAATAAGTATGATAATAATCAAGGTTGCCACACCATCACTGTCATTATCATCATCATCATCATCGTCGTCATCGTCATCGTCAAATTATAAAAAAATTTTTTTTTGGAAGTCGCATTTTACTCCAGCGCATTTATATAATTTATTACA